CACAGAGGTTTCTGAGCTCTCATGTTATTCTTTTTTCTTGGTTAAAGGGTTGGGCATTGTTTTTTTTTTCCTTTTTTTCATCTGATGAATATTAAACTATTAATCAAGAATTACAAAGGAGAATTCCACAATTCCAAAAGATGGAAGCAAAGCCAAAATAAGGAAACTATCTAAGTAATATAAAAAAGACAAGATTAAGCTAAAAGGGTTGCGATCCTTGCGATCAAGTCGAAACCCAATCTTTTTAAGCATAAACATAAACATATTTTGAGATGGAGATCCTTGTGATCAAGTCGAAACCCAATATTTTTAAGCACTTTAGCGATTTGAGTCTAGACGAATCACCACCCGAACAATGATTCGTTACCCTCCGTTCCACAATAATACGACAGATATGTTGCAACCTAACTTTCCTAAACTACTCCGACTTAGCAGAGCGAGCCGGGGCGGTACATACAAACCAAAACCCAGAGACCACTTTGTCTCTTCAACATATTGCAAAGAGGAATGGCGGAGTTATTCCTCTTTTATATTCGTCTCACCACAATCACAAAACTCGGCATTGTTACGTTAGTTTTTTATGGAAATGATTTCTAGGCTAGGTGACCTTGTTTATGATCCTTGGGTAATCATGGTTGACTCAGTAAATATATCAAGGAAATTCGAATGGAGAAAATGTAAGTAACGATTGTATCCTGATCTCAAACTTCTCCCAAACAAAGGCAAACCAGCTAATATTATATTTGGGAAGAACGATTGGATAAACTAGAATAATCACCTGTGTGGTAGGTGAGCCATTCAAATCCCTTCTTCCTTGATGATAGGGATATCGTATCATATTTTCAAAATAACCGGTAAATAGTTGGTACTTTTCTTAGATACTTTTAATTAGGAAAATCATATTATATATTTTTGTGCTGAAAAGATTTAGTATTGTAATAGAAGTTGTCACCTGTTTTGAATTGACTTTCCACGTCTTTCGGGTGTGGACATGTGGAAAAGAAGTACTACTAACTATTTTTCTTAAACTGCTTCTTTCTATGTTCGTCATATAATAACTAAACGAAAGCTTACTCGCCCAGAGCTCATCTACAGAGAGAGAGAGCATCACCGTGCCACTGTAAAGGAGAAGAAGTAAACAAAAAAAAAAAAAACAGTTTCCATGGCGTCAAGAAGAGTTTCTTCGTTGATCTCTCGCTCCTTCATGTCCTCTTCTTCTCTTTTGTCTCTTACAGGTATGTCTATGCGATCCACCATTTGTATTGCTTCTTCTCATTTCCGATCTGTCTCTTTCCCATTTTGTTTTCTCTGTATTCATATGTGCATCTACGACGATCGAAATCCTTCTCTTTGTTTGAAATCTTGCTTTGTTGATTTCGGATCCATGATCTGCGAGTC